GGGCGGATGTTCGAAGTGATGATTCGAGTAGGGGCGCATCTAAAGCTTGTTGCCAAATGTACTCAGTAGCGGGGGAATTAGGGGGCGGCAGCCCCCCCATGATGCTCGAAGAAGAGCTTGTTGCCAAATGTGCTAAGTAGCGGGGGGGTTGGGGGGGGGGGCTGCCGCCCTCCATGATGCTCGAAGAAGTGATGATTCAAATAGGCGCGGAATGCAAAATCTTTTTTCAAGGGCGAAGGAGTGATGATTCAAAGATTGCGGGCGGATGTTCGGAGAAATGCTTCGAGCAGGGGCGCAGCAATAGCGGGGGGGTTGGGGGGGCGACAGCCCCCCTCATGATGCTCGAAGAAGTGATGATTCAAATAGGCGCGCAATGCAAATTCTTTTTTCAAATGTGAAGGAGTGATGATTCAAAGATTGCGGGCGGATGTTCGGAGAAATTCTTCGAGCAGGGGCGCAGCAAAATATTGTTGCCAAATGTACCAAGTAGCGGGGGGGTTGGGGGGGGCGGCAGCCCCCCTCATGATGCTCGAAGAAGTAATGATTCAAATAGGCGGGCAATGCAAATTCTTTTTTCAAGGGTGAAGGAGTGATGATTCAAAGATTGCGGGCGGATGTTCGGAGAAATGCTTCGAGCAGGGGCGCAGCAAAAAATTGTTGCCAAATGTACCAAGTAGCGGGGGGGCTGGGGCGGGCGGCAGCCCCCCCCCATGATGCTCGAAGAAGTGATGATTCAAATAGGCTCGCAATGCAAATTCTTTTTTCAAGGGTGAAGGAGCGATGATTCAAAAGCAAAATATTGTTGCCAAATGTACCAAGTAGCGGGGGGGTTGGGGGGGGCGGCAGCCCCCCCCATGATGCTCGAAGAAGTGATGATTCAAATAGGCGTGCAATGCAACCTAGGTGGAACATCAAGGGGTGATGAGTCAAAGAGGGCGGGCGGATGTTCGAAGTGATGATTCGAGTAGGGGCGCATCTAAAGCTTGTTGCCCGGTGCCACGTGAAGACTCTGGCTCAAAATGCCGAGACAAAATCTGCTCAGAAGCTAAAATGCGCGTCTGTGCAGAGATTTCCAATTCAAAGGAGCCAGCGATTCGCCAGTGCTTACCGCGAAAGTAATACGTGAAGCCTGTGCATGTTTCACGCGTCATCTCATCCATCCTACCGAGAGAATATTCGTGTAGTGTGTGCGTGTGTAGCGCGTTCTCTCGTTGATAATTTCGGGCCACACAGGCGACTAACGACACTTCGAATCCTTCCCGGAGTTTGCTCTCAGTTGGTTGGGTTAAAAAGAAAGCGGAGACAACATGAGTTTCTTCCTTTGTCTCCTTTTGCACGAGAAGGGTATGAAAAGACAGGTATCAAGGGACGGTCCTGTCGTTTCGGGTGGTCCACAGTCTTTTCAGGCAAGCCCGAAAAGTGGTGACGGAAATGGAAATGGAGGGGGTGGTGGTGGTGGTTGCGTGGGTAGTGGTTGTGGGGGGGGGGGGGGGGTGGTGGTGGTGATCATAGTTGGGTGGGGGGGGGGGGGGGGTGGTGGTTCTAGCGAGGGAAAAGATGGTGGGGGGGGGGGGGGGTGGTGGTTCTAGTGAAGGAAAAGATGTGGTGGGGGGGGGGGGGGGCTGGGTGGTTCTAGTGAAGGAAAAGATGTGCAGAGGGGGGGGTCTAGTGAAGGAAAAGATGTGCAGGGGGGGGGGGTGGTGGTGGCGGCGAAGGGGTTGGGGTTAGACATTGAGGTGAGTCAAAGGTAAGAAGGGGGGGGGGGTGGTGGTGGTGACTGGAAGCAACGCAGCGAGACGGGGGGGGGGGGTGGTGGTGCTGACGCCTGACCTTCGTGGTGATCACGCCTGAAAAACAGGAACTCTCGAATATTCTACCATGCATGAAATAGTTTGATTAATTATAATTTATCTTATTATTCATTTGACCATTATCCATTGCGGAAATTTGTGGAATATAGATTGAATAAAGAACAATGAAAACACTTTATAAGAAAAGAAAGACAGAAATGAACACATAATTTATCTTATTATTTGATATGAAAAGGAGTTATACAGATTATATTAATATAATAGATGAAGTAGAGAATATAGAGCAGGTAATAATAACTGACAATAAAACTGAAAACCGATGTTATTATTTGTTAGAATTAATTAAGTTTGTGATACAATATATCAATAATAAAAAGGTAAATATTAATATAAATGCCAAAGAAAGAAAAACAAAAAGAATAAGACAGGTTTAAGTGTTTCTTCAACTGATGAAGAAAAAGAAGAAATTGTTAAAGAAACATCAGTTATTGAGTTTGCTTGTCCAATGTGTAAAAATATTTTAGAAATGAAGAATGAACTAGAAATACAAAAGAAAGGAAATTGTAAATGTTCGTGTATTCCAACAAGTTTCAAAATATGTAAAAATGATAAGAAAATGAATATTGATAAAAGTAAAGACAGTATCAACTTAGAAACAGATGTCCATAATATAACTTTTAAATGGGGTAAGGATGCATCACTCTCGGATAATAATGAAAACGAAACACAGGAAACTGTTAAACACATGATGAACAATTAGTATTTAAAGAGTAGATTTAACATAATTGCACTTTAAAGATATATAATTCAATAAATACATACCTAAATAAATATATAGTAATGTCTGAAAATGAGAATTATACTATTAATGATTTAATGAAGAAGATAACATTAATTGGTAAAAATATCAAAACCTTAAATGATATGATTAAGTCCATTGATGACAGAATGAAACCAGTTGAACGCGAACAACAAAGCAACGAAGAGAAGGAGAAAATCGAAAAGATATTTCAAGCAAAATCACTACCCTACAAAGCACAAGAAAAACGGTGAAATGTTGAATAGTAATAAAATCAAACAACCAAAGCAACACACATTAGAGTTTTGTAAAATTACAACAAATGATGATGGAGTATATGTATTATTTGAATAATTAAGTAATATCTAAAAATATAATAAATGAGTTTATTAGAATTATTTAGCGGAACAAGAAGCGTCGCAACCATAGCAAAGTCGCTTGGATTTAATGTAATATCATTAGGCTTGAAAAATGATGATATCAACACTGATATTTTGGAGTGGGATTACAAACAGTTTGACAGAAACCATTTCGATTTTGTTTGGAGTAATCCCCCATGCACTGAATAGAGTGTAGCAAAAACTAGGGGAATTAGGAATATCGAATATGCAAATAGTATTGTCTTAAAAACTATTGAGATTATCAAATATTTTAATCCTAAATATTTTGTAATCGAAAATCCACAAACTGGATTATTAAAAAATCAGGAGTTTATGGATGAGTTTGATTTTAAAGATGTAGATTATTGTAAATATGGAATGCCTTACAGAAAACGCACTAGGCTCTGGAATGACATTACAACTTGGAAACCTAGAGATTTATGTAAAAAGGATTGTGGCAACATCAGGAATAATAAACATATTGAAGCTGCGCAACGGTTGCCAAGTGGAAACAAGGAAAAATGGGGAGACAATCCAACAATACATAAGCAGGAAGATTTATATACAATACCTAGCGAATTAATTTGTGAAATCTTAGTGAGTTTGAATTAGGGGGAGTTCATCACAACATCCACCATCATTGCATTCATTGCGGGGAAAGGCGGAGCCTTTTATAGGGAAAACGCACCACTCATGGCTTTGAGCGCTACCGCTCGTGGCTTTGAGCGCTACCTCTCGTGGGTTTGAGTGCTACGTCTTGTGGCTCTGAGCGCTACCTCTCGTGGGTTTGAGTGCTACCTCTCGTGGGTTTGAGTGCTACCTCTCGTGGGTTTGAGTGCTACCTCTCGTGAAATTGAGTGGTTTTATACTATGATTATAACATTTATACCCTTATATGTTATAATTATAATGTAAGTATAGCGTTTTATATATTGAAGATAGTGTCCTACAAGGGACACCACGCCTATTAAAATCTATGATGAAGCTGATGAAGCGAAGGAGGGGAGTGATGTTGTCGCTGTCCTATTTTTTGTCCGAGAAATGGACAAATCGTTTTTAGACAGTTCGATAATTTTATGATGACAAATATTTTTTGCCCTAACATATGTAAAGAAAAAAGGGCATTATACGGCAATGGAAAGCTTCAGTGTTTCTTCGTGTTTTGCTTTCCTCGCGCTTTTTATCATACATTTACACACTTCGCATTCTGTTTCTTTTTTGCTTGCCTCTCGTTTTTGAGCTAAACATTTGTCGCATTATTTTTTACCCTCTTTGAAATCACTTATTATCATACTTTTCCTACATCTTGGGCACCCTGTAAAAATGATTGAGTGCGCCATATGTGAAGAAAAAAACAGAATTATATAAAAGTCATCTAAAATCATTTATGCATAGACAACTGAATAAAATGATGTACAAAATTCGTGTTGGTATGTTCTTTTGATTTTTTGGGAGATGAAAAGAACATATTGCGGTGCCTGCTTTGATTTAGTAAAAAGAATGGTTCTGCCCGAGGGGGTGAAGTTGTTTGTGCATTGAAAACGTGAAAATAAACCTAGGGTGGGGGCTAGACTTATGAAGCAATTTATTGCTAGGCGTGGCCCTCCACTACTGAGTCGCCCCCCCCCCCAAGCTTTTCCTGTCCGGTTCTTGACTTTGCCATGATGGTTGGTTTCCTTGTAGTGTGACCAAGCAATTTTTGTTCACCATGCTAGATATCCTTCTCCAAATGCATGGGTTTGTTCATGCAATGTTCCTCATAATTTATTCATGTGGTCATGATTTTTTGACAACCAGGACTGTTGTCATGTACACCTAAAGGTACAGCAGGGAGAGCCGCCTCCAAATCGCCTAGTACATGATTGAACCGCTATAAACCCTTTTGAAGCAGCTGGTCTCTCCGTGTTTTTTCCACCAAATGCAAAACAAAACAAATACCTTGCGCAAAGAAAGTCGACGTTTGCTCGGGCGCCTCGCGAATTCGCGAATTCGCGAATTCGCGCATGCGAGGCGACGCGGGGTCCGGGAAGTCGGTGCTCACCAAGCAGGTCTTCGCGGCCATCGCCCAGGACCAGGTGCGAGCTCGCGGAAGCGCCGGGTCGATGGTTTTCAATGTCTTGCGATCGTTGCGGTGGGCAGGGAGTGAGAAATGGAATGAACCCCGTAAACCATCCAACTGGTGGTTTCCTTCAAGGGAATCCGAGAGTCGGTTTCCTTGTTCCCTTGCAATATTTAGGGCAACTGTACACAGAACAAGGGGATTCTCTCATTTACCGTATAGTTTTGTCATTCAGTATTGTCTACTTGGAAGCAATATTCAGGGCATCAGTGCACCATCCCCCCAAAAGGCCCACCTCCTCTAAACCACGCGCAAAAAGGGCACCCTCAAAAGAAGACATGCCCATGCGTACCTTCCCGCTTAAGAAACGGTTGCTTATGGTAACTTTCGGGAATACTGTTGTTGTTTCCCAGGTTTCTTTAAATGGTATTTGTGGGGGAAATACTTGTTGTTAACTGACCAGCAAAACAAATAGCTCGCAGGAGTTGCAGCATGGCACCGGTTGCCCGAAAGCTCTATTTCCGGGTTTACATGACGAGGGCTTGTTTACGGCCTTAGCCCCTTATCCTGGCATAGCCGCCCCATAGATTGTTCTGCCCGTTTATAGTCAGGAACCTCCTCTCTGAGGTTTCACGCCAAATTTTTGAACCTGATCAAAAGCAAACCAAAGGAGAGCCTTGCAATTGCTGGTTTCCGATAGATAGGCCACAGGGTGGGGTAGAGATGGCTTTTCGAGCAACGCGGAGGGCAACAAACGGACTTTTGGCTCGGAAAAAAACGGGTCCGCCCTTTCGCATGGGGTGTCCTTTTCTGAGGCTCTTTCTGAGGTCGTTGTTCAGGGCAGCGGATCATCCTTTTTGGTTGATAAAATCTCCGGGCAGATCTGGAAGTTTCTCAAAATGGTGAGCCCCCTTTGGCCCTTTTGATATTTGGATCCCAAAGACAGCCGTTTCCATTTTAGGGGGCCGATTCCTGTACCCATGTTTGCGGACGCCAGGTGAAGGCGGTTCAGGCCCTGCAGGACAAGCCTAAAAATAAGGACCGAGACATCGTGACGAGTGGAAGGTTTGCGTTTTTGTGGGAGTCGGGATTTGCTAGGGATTTTCCAGTTTTTTTTTGAGGGGGGATGGTTGGTTGCCTTTTCTTTTCGGGAAGAATATGTGTTGTGGGAGCATCTTTTTTCCCGTTTTCGGGCGGTCTTGCATTTTTTTCTCACCCTTGTTTTTTTTCCTGGGTGGAAAACACACGACCTTTTTGGGCAACTGGGTCGTTCTCACGTTTTTCTGACTTCCTTGGTTCCAAAGGCATGGTTGCCCCCTCCAAAGTGTAAGATTCCACTTGGAGGGACGGTATGGTGCACTTTTTTCTGGCAAAGCTCGCAACGAAAGCGACTGGACCTGAACTGATCCTTTTCTTCCCCAACGGCTGAGGGTTCCGGAGGAGGTTCCGGGGCTGTCCGGATACCACCTGAGCTTATCTTTTTTTCGGGTGCCTTTTTTTTGTGGTTTCAAAGAAAAACGGGGGTCGAAGAACAGGATTCTGAAAATAAAGGGATCTCCAAACTGATCGGTTTTGGTTTTCTTCAGCGCTTCAGGGCGAGCCTGCACACCGATGCCTCCAAGTGCCCAAGCGAATGCCCCCCCCTGGCAGCCAAGCTCCTTGCAAGACGAGTCAAAGGGGACCTTTGTCAGACTCAAGTGCCAGTCCCCTTAAAGCCTGATGCTAAAGTGGACCATAGGAACCCGATGGGAATTGCGGACTGCGATTTTCTTGTGGATTGCTTGCTGTGCCGGTCCGCAAGGTTCTGGGATTGGGGTGTCGGTTTGCGAGGAGAAAGCCCCCAAGCCCCAACATTTCCCCAACACAAGGCCATCTTTCTGCCTATTTCATGGTGAGCTCACCTGAAATCTGGAATCATTGAGAAATTGCAGCCCCTCAAATCAGGTTTGGGGTTTCCGCGTGTTTCATTTTTTTGAAAGAAAGCCGAAACAGAAACCTCAATACAGGACATGGCACATGGGTATGAATGTTACTGGCGAAAACTGTGAAAAGGGCGTTGGTGGACGTAACTTTCCTCTTGCAAATGATGTCCTCAGAAGGGGCCCCTAGCTTGGAATTCATACCGTTGATGGGCACAATCCTGCACCACTTTGAAACCATGGTTGAAACCATTGTTGGTCGATTTTACCGAATCATTCCAGGCTTTCTGGCGGACCTTGCAAAGCATCAGCACCTAGCTGGCGTTTTTCTCTCGAAGGATGAGCAGGGCCGGAACATCCCCCCGAAGCTGGACCTTGCCATGGTGCCCATCCGCGTGCCGCTGATTGACCTCAGCCGCCAGATCGAGGAGAACCCAGACTCGGTGGTGGAGGCGGATACATGGGGCATTGATACAAATGCCGATGTTTGAGTCGCTCAAAAACTGTTGGAAACCTGGGACCTACAGATTGTTGTCCCAATTGATCAGAAGGTCCGTGATACATGGGGTGACGATTAGGGAAACTGCCAAAAGGATTTGACTTTGCGTGATATATAGGGTGACCAAAGAAGGATTGGGCTTTCTTCGCATGGAAAGTGATCCGTGGTCATTTGGGGGCTCAACCCCCATGTGCCATGGTCAAAAGACCCGCGGAAAAGGTTGGGGTTGGACATCCTCCCCCTTAAGGGAATTTGGACAACCGTGAGAAGGGGGTCAGCATGAATGGCAGATTCTGTTTTAGGCTCTGAAGGGCAAACTTGGGTGTGTCTTTAAATAGGCGACCCCGGAAAATGGCGGGTTTTCGTTTGGTTTCCCTTTAATTACTCCAAAAGGGACCTTTAGAAAAGGAAACAGGTGCCATGCCTCGGGATACGAGGCGGACACGCTCAACGACCTGCTGGCGGTTTGGATCGGTCGGCACTACGGCCAGGATCGCTCAACCCAGCGCGGGGCGAATTTTTTCATCGACACCCGAATGGGGTTTTAGGTTGGGAAAGTGGCCACTTGGCGTGGGACAAAATTCCTACCTGACCTCCTCAGTGGGAACTGGGCAGGGTTCGGCTCACTTTACAGCCTTCAAAGCTTGTCCTCCTATCCAGGGATAGCTCTTAGAGGTCCAAACGGGTTACCCCCACAATGGCTTTGGTGGTTCCCGCAAACAATGACGAGCACCCAACTGGGCAAACGGGAAACGGGAAGCCCATCCTTGGCCGAATAAGAACGACCCACCTTCGTAAGAACCAAAAACACGAAAGGTGATGAAAGTGCCCAACGCTTCTTGTTTCTCTGGGAATATGCTGCAGCTTAATATGGGTGACCCAGAAAGCAGGTCTCTCAAACGGAGATTCCTGAAATGATGGCTTGGGTTCCGCGCGCCTGCGTGGATTGTGAGCATTTCAGTGCTTCTGTTTGGGGCCGGGCGGGGGTGACCAAAGCACCCCCGAACCACCTCGAGAAAACCGGGATGAATTTCCCTTGAGTGGGTATTTAGTGGTGTTCCATTAAACCAGGTGGTTTGGGGGTAGACACCATCTTAAGCAGGACGCCACCAAACACGACCTCCCAAACACACCGATTCAGTCTTGGTCAATTTGTCTTCGAACCCTAAGGTTTGGGTGTGTTTGGTGTCCACTCAAGCAATTGTGACCAAAGCACCCCAAACTACCACCCAGTACCCATTGTTGGCACTGCCCCAAGCCACCACCCCCAGTATACTACCCTCTATAACGTTGGGTTTGTACTTGCCATCAAACCTCGACCCTTCTGGCTATGATCTCGACAGGGAATGCCTTAGCAAGTGGTTGGTGGACGTACATCCCAACCTTTTTAAATGCACCATATATCTATATATATATATATATATATGGATATTCTCAGAGCCATAAAAACCTCGGGTTTTGTTTTTTTCATTGGACTCAGCCATACACCTCCTTTTTTTTAAAAAATATTTTTACAGAGGACTCCAACATTCAGCACCTGATCTCTGACACCCGCAATGCGGTGATGGAGCTCATGGAGGGAGCCTACGAGGGCACCACGCAGGGTCTGTTTTTGCTCCTGGATGGCCTGGACGAGGCGAGGGAGAGATCCGGACCCAGCGCTAAATCGATGTGGCGCAAGGAGAGCCCTCAAGAAAAGGAACGCTCAAGAATGGATCTCTCTCGTTTTTTTTAAAAGGAAACCCGGTTAGTTGGTGGTTTTGAGCCCGGTGGTTTGGATTTGGGTCCCTGGTTCTTGTAGAGGGCAACTGGGACACCAATGTAAATGTGGTGTGGTACTACATATGTACATGACCGCAGGCCTTGAGCTTATCACTACAGCCCATGCAAAATAGGAGCTGTGCAGACTACAGGTTTGACTGTTTATTATAGCAACATAACAGCACTTGCGCTTGCAGTAAACGGCATGTTGATTTTAACGTGGTAGCGGAGCTGGGATCCTAAACAGAAGGGAACTCTAGTACACAGCAGTAAGTACAACAACTGCAACGGCAATCACGTCGGGGCTTGCCTTTGATAGCACTGGGCATCACAGACCCCAGAGTGCTTTGTTGTTTGCGCACAGGCCAATGTTTTGTTTCGCAGGTAAGCGCGGGCAGTGCAAAGCCATAGTGTGCGAGACGGCCTCCAGAGAGCTTTCCAAAGATGCGTGGTTTTGTGTAGCATGGCAGTGAAGTCAGAAGGTTTGTCACAGAATACCTGCATATATCCCAAAGTGTGACGCTTTGCCAAGGTCAAGCTGGTCAACTGATGTTTGCCAACGGCTTTTCTGGCAATCAAACGGCTCACACAAGTTCTTGAATGTTCGCGAATTGCTCCAACGACGTTTTTGGGCACCAAGCACGTTTATTTAACTTCAATCAGTGGCGGAAATTCGGCGCCCTGGGCTTTCCAGGCATGATAGATTTGTAATTCTACGCGCAGCAAGCAGCTGTTGATGCATGGTTGGACCTGACAAAGCTTTGGAAGCACGTAGCGCTCTGAGGGTTTCTGCTATGAGCCAGCTCAAACAGGCATGCCTTCTCAAATGCGTGATTTCAAGCCCTACGTTGAACAGCCAAAGGTGAAAGCGCCGCGCAGCTCAGCTTTTGTGGGTCTGCTCAGCAATTGTACTCTCCAGAATGCTTTTTCTGCTTGGGCGTCTATTCTCTTACTCTTGTGGTTTCCGTGGGCCTTGTTGCCTCTTATTTGGCCAGTGGCTGGTGCTTCTAAGCGCCAGAAAGGAACGCCGCCAAACGCTATCGCCGCAAAGCCAAGTTGCCACCCCCAGACTTGGAATTGAAAAGCCCTACAAAGATATATTTGCTATGGCCGCCCAGCTCCAAGCACATTGGCGCAGACGCATTTAGCGTGAAACTAACAACCGAACTTTGTGTTTTCCGGGGCACTGGGTTGAACAGGCTCCCCACAACAATCTTACAAACAGCGCCCGGCTCAAGATACGCAATGCTGAGGTGTTACAGAAAACGCCGTGATTTCTGGAGTTGCCCCCTCCCCCCCCCTCCCTAGGCTCAATTCTGAGTCCACGTGTCCATTGTTTTCCATTGGGGTTGTTATAACAAAGGAAGGGGGGTGGGGGGGCTGGTGGCCGGATTGCGGCGTTTTCTGTAACACGCCAGATTTCTCAAAGGCTCTAGGCTGAGCTGCCAATTACTTCCCCCTATCAAGAATGCACTCTACCATTAATTTGTTTTTCGCGGACCCCTTGTCCAGACCTGAACTTATTAGCTCTCCAAACCAGGTTTGACTTACGATTGCATTCACGTTTGAATTATCGAATTGCAAACTCAAATCTAGAGTGAGCAAATCAGATTGAACTGCACCGATTTGTTTTGTTCAAGTTCAATATCAACAAAACTGCCTTGAGCGGTTTTCTTTTAAATCGCTAGTGGACATATTGCTGTTTAAGGCGTTTGTGCCAGGTGGCACCCTGCAGCGCCCTTGTGGTACCCAATCAATAGTTTTTTTTGCCCCAGGGAATATTGATTAAAAGGGGGGAAGGGGGGTACCCCATTTATTGCTATGGGGAAGCCGTTCGCCAAGGCAAAGCTCAAACTAGCATGAGCCTCGCAGCAAAAACCGAGCACGAGCCGGGCACGAACCGGGCACGAACCGGGCATGAGCCGGGCACGAACCGGGCACGAACCGGGCACGAACCGGGCACGAACCGGGCACGAACCGGGCACGAGCCGGGCGCGATCCGTGCGCGGTCCGTGCGCGATCCGTGCGCGAACCGGGCGCGAACCGTGCGCGAACCGTTTACGAACTGGGCGCGAACCGGGCACGAACCGGGCACGAACCGGGCACGAACCGAGCACGAACCGGGCATGAGCCGGGCACGAACCGGGCACGAACCAGGCACGATCCGTGCGCGATCCGTGCGCGATCCGTGCAACCGAGCGCGAACCGGGCACGAGCGGCACGAACCGGGCACGAACCGGCACGAACCGGGTGCGATCCGTGCACGATCCGCGCGCGATCCGTGCACGAACCGGGCGCAAACCGGGCACGAACCGGGCGCGAACCGGGCACGAACCGAGCACGAACCGGGCATGAGCCGGGCAAACCGGACACGAACCGGGCACGATCCGTGCGCGATCCGTGCGCGATCCGTGCGCGATCCGTGCACGAACCGGGCTCGAACCGGGCACGAACCGGGCACGAACCGGGCCGAACCGGGCCCGATCCAAATACGAGCCTCCCAAGCAGAGCGCCACCTGAGCACAACCCAAGCAGCACAAACAGAGAAGAGCCGGCAGGGCAGAGCACCAATTGAGCACGAACCGAGCACTAACCAAGCACAAGCACGAACCGAGCGCGAAGCGAGCACGCTTAGGGTCGCAACCCTACCTAGCTCGGTTGTGAGTTTCGAGCATAAATGCTTGTTTGGTTTTGGGAGGCAGGCTGCCGCAAAGCCTTGCCGCGTGGAAATATAGTTTCCGAATTCACGCGCAGATGAAAAGCACTCCTGGCCCCGTGTGCAAAGGCGAGCCCCGCACGTGCCAAACTACTACGACGTGTCAGGAGAACCAGCGTCGCTGGTGACTACTCCCAGTACGAAGAATGGCTGTTCAAACTACAAGACCAAAGGAGCGCTGCAACAACATCTCCAACGACGTGATGGACAAATCGCAAACTACACCAGATCAGAGCAGTCATCCTGGACTACTACAAGACGATTTCAGCCTTCTCAAGATCAACTTCAGCAGTTGGCACAAACGACAATGGAGGAAACTACAAAGGACACTGCAAAGGAAGCAAAGGAAAAGGCAAACGCAGAAGCAAAGGCTACCCCAAAGAATTTGACAAAGGCAACAAAGGGGAAGCTACATGCAACAAAGGAGGGTGCAACGAAGGCAAAGGAAAAGGCTACTCAGGATCCAAAGGCTATGGATCAAGCAAAGGCTACAAAGGCTAGGGAAACTGCAGCAAGTCAAAAAGAAAAGGAAACGGCCACTACATGACATGCCACAGATGTGGCGAGCCTGGCCACTGGGCACAGGACTACAGAGTGCCTGATGGCGAGAAGGAGATGAACTACATCCAGAAGGACAACAATGGGGAACTTCCTCAGGACCTGAACGACACTGGAGATTGGTACGACGAAGGAGAAGAAGGACATGGACACGACGTGAACTACATGGAGGAGAACTGGAACAACTACACCTCTGACTACAGCATGTATTGGAACGAAAACAGCTATAAAGATGCAGCAAACTACATTGGAGGCATCAGCGAATCACACCTCGCAATTGGACACATCAGACAAGCAAAGCCACTACCGTGCAAGCACAAACCCAAACCACTACCTCCAACATTATGGCAAGATCGCAGCGACAACTTCCATCGCCAGCAGCAGCGAAAAAGCAGAAACAACAGAAACTTGATGACACCGTCACTCACTACATGCGTACTCCAACTTCAAGTGGTACCACCACCTGCTGATTGACTCAGGAGCATCCACACTTGTTTGCCCAGAGGGCTATGCGCCGGATCTATCATTACAACCTTGTAAAGAGCCAGTTTCGCAACTCTACACCGTGACCAACAAGAAGACCCCTGGCTAGGGAATCAAGTATGTTCCCTACAAGGAGGACAACTTCAGGGCCACGCAAAGCACTCTTCACCTCACACAAAAGCGGCTGCCCAACAAGCACGAACAACTACAAGAAAACACCAAACAACTTCCCAAACAAGAACGACAGAGAAGACTTGAAGGTGATGACTGAAGTGAAGAAACCAAATTCCGAAGAAAAGTCACACCTACACCCGGGTACACCAACGCGACAAAGTGCGCAATCACAAACTACAGTAGAGACAACACCAACAAGGTCAAAGCTACAACTACGAACTCTGCAGAAGATATGGAGAACCAAATCAGAACTTTCCACACACCTAGACGCTACACAACCAAAAGCAACCTTACACAGACCACCAGTGCAAGAAGACAACCCAACGCAAAGGTGACAGGACAGTCATCGGCAATGCAGCACTATCATTCCAATGGAAAGGCGCAACAACGTTCCTCCAAGAGAACTACGACGAGGAGCACCACCCCTCGAACACCACGAAGGACACCGAGCAAGAGGCCTACGACACGACAACCAACTCCACAACAAATAGCAGAACACAACCTGACTCACCTGCCACAGAGAAACTGGTGTCCGATTTGTGTGCAAGGCAAAGGACGACAGGACAACTACAAGCAACACCAATCACGACACTCCATCCTTCAAGTAGATTTGCCTACATCAAATCACAACAGGACCTGAAGACCATGCCAGTCTTAACAGCAGTCGATGTTGAACTGTGCATGGCGGTATTGGTTCCGGACAAACCATCAATGATGGACTACATGACCAACAGCCTACAAGCATTCATCTTTGAGTGCGGAAGAACACAAGGCATGCTGCAAGGTGACAACAAAGACACCCTCAACGCATTACTAAAATAGCAACAGCGCCCAAAGTCGGCCCAATGGCTGTACGGCACTCACCTTCCTTGACTGTTAGTCAATCAAGGGTTGAGCGACCACACAGAACTCTTCTTGGACAGCGCGCAAACAAAGCAGAAGTTGAAAGCAACTACAGCGTATTACAATGGCCACAAAGCATTGTCTACTACCTCCGATAGTACGACATGCAGCCAGTTGTAAGATATTACTAGACCATTACAACTGAGGGGCCGTGTCAATATAGCTTGTGCATGACCGCAGGCCTTAAGCCTATCACTACACGAGCCCATGCAAAATAAGAGCTGTGCAGACTACAGTTTTTCACTGTTTATGATAGCAACAGAACAGCGCTTGCGCTTGTTGCAAACAACAGTTTGATTTTAACAAAAGAGAGAGGGAGAGAGAGAAACACCCTGGGAGAGCGAGAGAGCTCAGAGGCTCACGAATTCTCTGAAGTTGAACAAAATGAACCCTTTTAACTCCTTCAAATTTCGGGGTTTCTTGGTTCAGAGGACCAGTTCGAAGCAACATACTACTAACCAACCCACCAAGTCTTTACTCAAGGAGTTATGAAAGGATTGGGTTTCCTTTGGCTCAATAGGGATGGAGTAGAATCCATTGGCCACCACTACATTTTGAACTGCCCAACGGAAATCCAGATCAACAACGCACTCGATGGTTTTGAAACGGCTTCACTTTCAGGGGCCCTTCAAATGAATGGTTTTAGAGCTTCACTTATTCTTTCTGAGAATTAAGTGGAAACACTGGGTGCCTCTGAAGCCTGTTGACCTGAGGCCTCCATAAGACGCGCAGTGATCCTCAAGTACATCGCCAGTCTGCTGCAGAACGAGTCACTGCACTTCCCCATGATCACCTCTCGACCAGGCAAGCCAACCGTTCCTTCAGCCATGGGAAATAGGGCTCTTCCTTTGCAAAGTGACAGAGTTGTCACACGGATGGGAACCTCACGTTGGTATCACGGACCAGGTGGTTTCCCAGAACCATTGCAGCTTGGCTCTTGATTGGGCCAAGAAAAAAAGGGTTCGATTTGTTGGCAGTTCGGTCAAGATGTTCGGAAGTCTTTGTTCTTGAGAGGGACATTGAGATGGGGGGGACGAGCTCCAAATTCCCGGCCAAGAATCCCACGGATGACTGTGCAAGTGCAACATGGTTGCAACATGTTTCAACCCCCAAACAACGAGGTCACGCTCTGCCTCTGTGGCCTCTGCAGCAAACAGTACATCATCCGTGTGAGCGAAGCGCAGGGCTTTGGCACAGCGGACAGACATCACTTTCCTCCAGTTCCCATCATGCCTTTAACACAGTCGTGAGTCGTTCGGTCAGACAAGTTTCAGGCACAAGCTCAGAAGATAGCGCACGCAAGCCCCATTGGGATAAGGCCAAGTGCGGTCCAAGACGGCGCTTTTGTTTGCTCGTTTGCCTACTGTAGCCCCCATCCCACCCTCAACCAACCCGACCCAACCCCGCAAAAACAGCAGTCCAACCCTGCTGCCGCATCTTTTGTTTCCTTTCCGACCACGTGACAGTATATCGCAAAGGCCAAGACAGAACGTCAGCTACCAGGATCCAGGGGAAAAGGGGTCTGTGCCTTTTGTATAGTGGCACATATATTGGCCATACATCGGCTGTATGTCAATGTGAGTCCTGACAACATATGCTCAGTTTGCATTCTCATGAGGCGTTGGCCATTTTGGTGGTTCTCGGTGCTTGACAATACCTTGTTCATGTTCTTGATTTCAAAACATGTCTTTGACCAGCCTCGGACCATCGGCGGCAATTTTTTTTCCACGACTCGGCCGGGGCTCTTTGAATTTCAACCCAAAGCCCTGGCCCCAAGTCAATGGACTTAAATGGTTAAAATCAAGATGAGTAAGACATACCCTTCCTCCCACGTGGCCGAGGGTGCCAAGATCAGATGCCTCTTGGACCCTCCCCTTGTCAGGTGCCATGGCAACGTGGGAGAGAGGGTCTGAATCCAGCATAGCGGGATGAGAGTGGATAGCATTCTATTGGGCACATCATGTAGATTCATTATTCCTGAAGATTGCTTGTTTGGAGCTGGAATTCTCATTGTGTTTTGTTATCATTGTCCTTCATTTGAAATCCTGAAAATCTCTCAAGTGCCTTCACAATGTCCTTGAAGTAGGCAAATACCTAGCTTCCCTCCAGTTTGGTTTGGATCGGTCTCTTGGGGGTTTGGGATGGTTTCCCAGGGTCACAAGAGCCAGGGCTTCAAATCCAAAAACACAAATCCAATCCAATCCAAACCACCAAATGCGGGTTTCCTGAAGCATTGGGGAGCCATTCCAGTTGCAATGGCTCCCCCTGCGAGGGCTTGCGCGAGCTTGGGACCGTATCTCTGCTAGGTCCCCCAGTAGTGCCCTTCTACCCTGTTTTGGGGGAGGGTTCCCCTACTAAAATAGACTACAAAAAAAGGGTACCCTTATTCTAGTCTCTCTACTGGAACTGGAGGACCTAGTATGGGGGTGGGGATACTTTTGGACCCCCTGATTCATCGCCACAATTAGGGGGGTGCTTTTCTCCGTCCAACGTGGACTCAGAGATACAGAGTATCAGATACCCACTTGGAGGTCACTATGTTTTAAGCCATCATGGTTGCCCCTTTTGACTTGTCGGGCCTCGCCTTTTCGAGGAACTCGGACTCCTCGAATAATTAGGGTTCCTTTTCAGATGGCCCAAAGGAAAGTGGATGGGTTTTGAAGAATGGATGGAGGGGGATGAAACACCCTCAGAACTCTTCGCCTTTGCCAGGCGCTTCTTGAGGCAGCCCTTGTGTTCGAGGGTGAGATAAAGCGAGCTAAAAGTGGCAAAGCCTCAGCTTTCCTTTCGCCCCTTTTTGGGACAATACGGGTTTTTCACCATGAACCTCAACATCCTGGGTTTGGTGCTGCCCGCTCTGCCGCTCAGTCGCTAAGTCGCTCAGTTGTTGGCCAGGGGTGCTGGGCATGTACGAGAACGACATCATGAGCGCTGCTGGCTTTGTCTCGATCTCTTTGTCCCGCCTGGCGATTCAGGCCTGCCGATTCAGGCAACACATGAGGTTGCTCCGGTCAAACCGCCCGGCTTTGTTTATCCGGTGTCATTATTTTCATCATCTTTTTTTTTGGGAGGGGGAGGGGGAGGTATCAAATGGGATGTTTCCCTTGTCCTTGGCACTTGGACAGTGAGCGCACGGGCATTTGGAGAATGGGGACTTAAAAAGCATATGGGTGTTTCTCGAAATTTGGACCCCTTAAGGTGGTTGGTTCCTCTTGGCTTCCCTTTAAAGCCCATCCAAAAAGGGGTCCCCAAACACCCATAGAGTATAGCACAGTTTGAACGTGGCACAGGTGTTTGGGTGGGTTTCCCTTCCGTTCTTTCTCAGACCAGATGCGCGAGGGTTTGTTGGTTTCAGGGCTGACTCCAATTTGGCCTATGTGTAAAGACTTGGGCGGCATGCGGAGGACCATAGTCAGGTGGAAGCCACCTTCATGAAAGGGCTCCTGAATCAGATGAATCCGAAACATTCACGCTCCATGCACACGCCCGAAAGGTTCCACCCAAGCCCTTGAATCTAAATGGGTCCAAGAGGGACACCAGAAGGAACCCCCCCACCATTCCAGAAGGAACCCCCCACCATTTCCGGATTTTGGTTTGCTCCCTAGGCGCATTAGAATGAGCCCAAACAGAACTGCGGGCTGCTAGCTTTCCGGCCATCGGTTTCACCAACAGGAAACCCTCCGTTTTGTGGGGGGTCCCCCAAGAAAAGACACCCCCAGACGCGTCCATGTTGGGAAAGGGGAGGGCACCTCGATGCTCGGATGCCAAGTCATTGCCCTCGTAAGCTATTGAGGGAAAAGTAAAGCCGCATCTGTTTCAGGGACCAAGGGAAGAACCTCATTTTTACCGAACCCCCAAATCCATGCGCTTTTTTTTCGGACTTGCCATTGGGCATGTTGCCAAAGCTTGGGCCCTCCGGAACCCGCTTGCTTCGCTTCCCCCCCCCCCCCCCCCGTGCCGGTCGAAGGACTCCGTGGAGCTGTCGACGGGCATGCTCACGCGCATGGGCTCCGAGAAGCCGATGGCCGCGCGGCGGCACCGCGCGAGCTGTGGGAAGGGCTTGGGCTTTGGGCGAGGCGTTTGGCGTGGGGTTGGGGAAGGGAAGGCTTTTGGCGAAGGTCTTTGGGCTTTGGCTGCTTGGAGCTTTGGCGTATTTGCTCAGAGCAGTTCGGGGGCTTTTGGCGCGAATCATTGAGAGGGGCCCTCGAAGTTCGCTATGGCCACCTTGGGTCCCCTCTTTCGGGGAAAAAAGGACAAACCACGGGGCCAATGCCAGGCTGGACTCTCCAACTTGAGCCTGGTGGATCAAAGGCAGAGTTTGACCGGCTAGGGGTGCTACTGAAAACCCCGGGTGCTAAGGCTGTATTGCCCAGGGTCTTTATTGAGGAAACCGAAACTATGGCCCACATGAAACTCGTGTTGACCACATCTCTAAGCATCGTAAGGATTCCTACTGAAAGTGTCACCGTGGCAACCACTTCGACGGATCTCCGTATTTTCAGGCGAGACGCGGATATCCGCCCTTCTAACTCTTTACATGGAATTGGGTGGATATTTATGTAGGGGCCAAAATAGGGGGGCCCGAATCGAACATTGCGCAGGTTTCCTTCTGGCTTGCCTTCAAACCAAGGCTGGCCTGCAAAAAGGGATGCGAGGGCTTGGATTGCTCAGGTTGAGGACATCACCAAGATCATCAAGAACCCGGCCTACGTGGCCCTGACTGGCAACCCTCTGTGCCTCACGCTGTTGGTGCACGTGCTGCGCAAGTGGCATACTGCACCTTGGAGTCCGAGCCGGCGAACGCTTCGCGAACCTGAGCATGGGTTATATCGGGTGCCCGCTTTTAATGCCTTTTAAGGGAACCAAGAGAGGAGGGGTCCCTCATTTCGAGAAGCACCCACATTTGGGCTCATTAAATGAGGCCACGCAAACGGGGGATGGTTTCTTTGAGGCTCGGTGAGAAAAGGGAAGCCACAAAGACAACCACTATGTGCGCACCCAAATGGTGGGCTCATTTGGAACCAACCAAAACACGGGTGGCCCAAACACGACACGTCTTTGGTCAGTCCTAGGACTCAAACCAAAACTGCATTGTCATTTTGGTGGGTCAGATGTGGATCTAAGATCGATTCCCCAGATCTGTCGGCAGGAAATTCGAGACCTGCTTTTGGCAGGTGACTAAATTCACTTCCTATGAAATTTGTGGTTGCTGTTTTGTTTTTTAAGCAGGAGCGGAAAACAATGTTCCGGGTGCCATGGACACTTGGAGAGCCCCTGACCCGCCCCCACTGCTCAGGACTCTGCCGGGGTTTCTTCGGAAGCCATTCTGAAGAAGACCGACGTCTACCAGAAAGCCTTCAAGCTCATGCTGCACCAGTCGGATGCGGCGCTCCTCGACGGTTCCAAAAGCATTTTCCACGAGGGTGTTGCTTTTTGTCCTTGATCCGCACGAGGTTTACGAACAAATACGGACCATCATTCAAGAATGTTTTTGGTTGGGGTGCAAAAGCTGAGTTTTGTGAGGGTTTCAAAGGGGAGTGCACCATTTGGAGCAGGAACTCATCTATTTTGATAAGAACCCTGATCGTTGCTTGGCTTGGGAAAGTACGTGAGTAGAGTCATTCTCTCATTGAGGGCCATTTCCCTGGCTGCTAGCCAGACCTCCTGTGGTCATGGGCAAACAAGTTGACCCCCCCCCCCAAAAAAAAAATACATAAAATGGCACTTCAAAGAACAAAACCAAATAATCAAACAGCATACAACAAAATCAGCAAAATTCACAGAAAACAAGATAAGAACCACCAAGCAACTCAAAAACCAGAACAACCCCCAACAAAATATTTAATCAAAGCATAAAACATTAAATAATTCAAACAAGCATACCAACAAAACAACAAAAATAAAACCCATCAAAGAACACAAACTCAAAAACACACATCAACAAAAACATAGCAACCTACCAACAAAAAATAACAGAAGAGTATCAAACAAAATAAAATACAAACAGCCAAAGCACGAAAAAATCAAAAGAGCATACCAAGTTCAAACAACGCACTTTGAAAGAGTCAGCCAAATCAAGGAAAAATAACAAATGTCAATCTTTACAAACTATAAGTACAGTATAATTATAACATATAAAATTTTACATGTTATTATTATAGTATGGTTTTAATCAAAGTCATTAGTATTTAAATATTCCTTTGTAATCTTTGGTATTTGTTTAAAGTTCTGTTTATTATTTTTAAATGGATATTTTCTATCAGCAAAATCATAAATGCAAAAATCTATGCCCCAGTTTCCTAAAACACTTTTAATATCATTTATCACATCACCATATATTAATTTACCTATTATATTGTTCTTCTGTTCATCCTTAATATAATCACATATTTTATCAATTATGATTTTCAATTCTTGGTTTCTTTGTTTTATGTAGTTTAAAATTGTTTCCTTGCAATCATTTTCAATTTTATTATTTGATAAATCATACTCATCAATAAATTTAAATATCATTTTATTATTAAATTCTTCAATTGGTCTTGTTGTTCCAGTTTTGCCACCATACCTAACTTCATATGATTTGTCGTAGTAATATTTAATATCATTATAAAATTTTAAAATATATGTTTCGTTATCTTGCAGTATATATTTTTTCACTTTTTCATATGTAGGAAATGTATTTAACTTTATAAAACAATATGTTCTTAATGATGAGTCATCATTGAGAAATGTATTTTCTTTAAGTTCCAATTTGTATTTATCATAAATACATTGTCTCAATGTTGAATGTAAATTACTTTTATGTAAAACTTGCTTTGCATTTCTTAATAAAGAACATTTCTCGCATTCAACATAATTAAAATCACAAATGTTTTTAACAATTGGAATAGGTAAATTTAACTTAGTTAGTCCAGCTTTTTCATTTATTAGTTTACATTTACAACTACTGATAATGTCATTAACTTGTATTTGATTCAAAAAGTCATTAATAATTTCTTCTTGCTCTTTTTTTAGTAAATTCAACCATTTCTATCTTAATATATTAAGTCAATATTTCTTTAAGTAGATTTTAAGTAGAAAAAATAATTATAACATTTAACCAAGTAAATGTTATACATATGTATGCTTATTCTGGGTCATAAATAAGATTTGTATAATAATCTTTCCCAAAATGAGTAAAACATTTAACTTCATTATTCTTCATTATCTCTTCATCAAACTTATCAAAGGTTATACATGCTCTGTTATTCTTACTACACCACTTTGTATATCTAGCATACATTCCCTGTTTATAAACAACATTACTTTCATTAAATGATATTAAATAATTGTCACAAACAAAGTCAAGAACTAGGAAATGCGGTGTTTCTTTTATCGCCTCAAGTTCTGAAAACATAGTTATTTATATATAATAATATGTCTTTAAGTATTCATATATTAAATTAACTTAAAGAAATAAACATATATTAAATTATATAGTATAGTATTATGAAACATGTTATAGATTATCTACTAAATAATGACAAAGCGGAAATACCAAAAAGAGGAAACAAGGAATTAAAATCAATAATTGTAGATGGTAGGAAATTTAGATACAGCAAAGAAAAACCTATCTCGAATGTTTTGAACAAGAAATTAAAATCAGTAGCAAACACCAATGAATACAAAAGTCATGCTACAAAAACCATTCGCTCAACATACCTTAAACAAAGATTGAAAAATGCCATGACAAAATACGCTATAAAAAACAAATTCAGAATAACAGACCAACAATCAGCATTCAAAAGTTATGCTAATTCTATAAAACTAGTAAATAAACATTTTCAAGGTGAAAAGGCACTATCAATGATACACCACCAAAAAGATAGACTTTTAACCTTTTTGAACACTAATAGAGCTATGAAACTGAATATAAGGGCAGAAGGTTTATTTTATCATTATTATGATGATGATGGAGTAATAAAACATACAGAGATACTTTATAATTTACCTGCAACAAGGTCAAACATATATAGTGAAACCGATTTGGATGAAGCAATTGAAAAATCAATCAAAGAGATTTTATTGAACATAGAAAAGTTAGAAGGTTCTGCATCTAATTTAAAATTTATAAAGATATTATCAATCACATTACATTATGACAAATATGACCCTACTAGGGCAGGTAGTTATATTGACTTACCAGATTGGATTAAACATAAGAAAGCATGTATCAATATTCAAAATAGAGATAATAAATGTTTCAAATATTGTATTCAATCAGTAGTATTTGATAAGATTAGTAAAAGTCACCCAGAACATACTTTTCATTACAACAAATTAAACGACAATATCTTAAACTGGGAAGGTGTTAAATTTCCAACTGGTAATAAAGATATTGAATGGTTTGAAGAACATAATAGTAAGTTAGTTTCAATCAATGTTTATGAAATTGATGATACTTTGAATGAAAAGAAAATTATAATTGATTACAGAACTAAAACAAGAGATGCTAAACATCAAATAAGCCTTTTGAAAATTGAAGCAGAAAATAACCATCACTATGTTGTTATTAAAAATCTAAGTCGTCTAATGAACTGGCAAACAAACAAGAATGACCAACCAAAACATTATTGTCATTATTGTTCTCATGCTTTTACTAGAAAGGATTTATTAACAAAACATTATGAAACTGGTTGTATGGCAACACACGGACAACAGTTTAAATTACCAAAAGAAGGTAGTTATATTGAATGTGAAAAACACAATACAAAATTAAAATGTCCGTTTGTTGTTTATGGAGATTTTGAGTGTATAACTGAAAATTCAAATAATGGCATCAAGGGCACGTATCAGGAACACAAACCATGCGGTTATATGTTGAATGTTGTAAATTCTATTGATAATTCAAGTCATCCTTTTTTATACCGTGGAGAGGATTGTTTAGACCACTTTGTAAATAAATTAAGAGAAATTAAAAAAGATATTTTTGATAAAATGAATGTTAATAAACCACTGGATATTACAGATGAACAAGAAGCAGAATTTAAAAAAGCTACTGTATGTTCAATATGTAATAAGAATTTTAAACCAGAAGATACAAAAGTTCGTGACCACTGTCATTTTACTGGTGAGTATAGAGGTTGTGCTCACGAAAAATGTAATTTGGATTATTCATTTAGATATTTCAAGATACCAGTATTTTTTCATAATTTAAAAAACTATGACTCTCACTTAATCATAGGTAAAGCAAATGAAATAAATAAGGAATTGAACGAAAATAAGAGAATAGATATAATTGCACAAAATAGCGAAAAGTTTATTACATTTTCATTTGGTTCATTACAGTTTAAAGATAGCATGGCTTTTCTCTCAGCATCTTTGGATAAATTAGTTAAGTTAAATAAATATGACATAGTAGGTAAAGATGAACATGATAAACCTATATATAAAAAGCGGAATGACTGGAAGGATAATTTCCGATTTTCATCAGCAAATCCATATACTAAAAATAAAACCGATTTAGACTTATTAACTGAAAAAGGAGTTTATCCTTACGACTACATGAATTCATTTGATAAATTCAATGAATCGCAATTACCAAGTATAGAAGACTTTTACAGTCAATTATATGAAGAAGGCATAACAGATACACAACACACAAGGGCAAAAGTAATATGGGATAATTTCAATATCAAAAACCTAGGTGAATACCATGATTTATATTTGATGACAGATGTTTATTTGCTTAGTGATGTTTTTGAAAACTTTAGGGATATGTGCTTAAATTATTATGGTTTAGACCCTGCTCATTGCATAACATTACCTAATTATTCGTGGTTTGCCTTCTTATCTCTTACTGGTGTTAGACTTCAACAAATACATAATAAAGACATGTATGAAATGATTGAAAAAGGTCTTCGTGGCGGGATGACTCAATGTGCTCATAAAAAAGTAGAAGCAAATAATAAATACATGAATGAACAATATGACAAGTCAAAACCATCAAGTTATATAAGTTATTTAGACGCTAATAACTTATATGGTCTGGCTATGAGTAAAAAACTACCGTTTGATAATTTCAATTGGTATTTTTCAAGGATGGATGAGAAGAAAGTATTAAGTTATAACGATGATGATGACAAAGGCTATATTTTAGAAGTTGATTTAGAATACCCAAAATAATTACATGATTTACATAGAGATTATCCATTAGCACCAGAAATTATGAGTGTTAGTGAGAATATGCTTTCAACAGTTCAAAAAGAAATACATAAAAAATATTATGGAAAAGATGCAACTGATGAAAAAACAAATAAACTAATATTAAATGTTATGGATAAGAAAAAGTATGTATTACATATATCAGCATTGAAGTTTTATTTAGAGCATGGATTAAAACTAAAGAA